TGTTTCCTGGAACTAATTCTTTTGGTACCCACAAATTTCTCTCAGTGGCTGGAGCCATGAAACTTGCGTTACCGGATTTCGGATGCTGTTTGTTAGCCCCTCTTTTTCTCTCTCTCTCTCTCTCTAGCTCACCCTCCTCCCTCCCCCTCCCTCCCTCTTACTCTAAAAACTTTAGATTCGGCTATAGCTTTTAAGGTTTTATGTTAGTTTCTAGCTTCGCACCTTCAGCTCTCTGGCTCCCTGGCTCCCTGGCTCTCTTCCCATCTCTCTTCCTTCCCTCGTGGCCAAACTCCTATTGATTGAGCTTCGAAACAACAACAACAAATTCATGGCTTTGGAATTTGGGCATTCGGTGTTACTTTTGGTTAGCAAACTGGAAATTCTTGGGGGTCTGTTGGAGTTGACCCAAAAAATAAAAGCGGGTTTCAAGAGTGGGGCGGCGGGAGAGAGAGAGAGAGAGAGGATAGCAATGCAGCGGCGCAGACTGCAGTCTGCAGCAGCACTGATTATGATGCCGTTGCCTTATCAAAAAACTGTGATGGGATGGGATGGGAGGGGGGGAGGAAAAACCACTCCACCCCACGTTGCGTATACGCCCCTTTGGAATGCCACACAGTGCCGGGAAAAACTGTATTTGCACCGCAAAAACTGGAGATTCGAATAATGTTGATCCGATATGGGTCAGCAGTGGACTGATTTATTATCCACACATTCCCATATATGTATGTATTGTGGGGTGGGGTGGGGGTGGGTCAATTTAAGCTTAACAGTGAGCCGGAATCGGATTTATCTATTGGATAATGAGATAAATAAATACATGTATAATATAGGCTTATTACAAGTCTATCTTCTCTGTGAAACGCCCCCAAATAATTATCTACAAATATATGGAAATTATATATAAATTCCTTATATATCAATTAAATATTTTAATTCCTCATATGTAAATTAACCATACATAAATTCTATATACATATTTTCACTATATTTGATATCCCCATAAATGAATTCCTTATATTAAAATTGTCGTCTTTAAAGTACTAAGGACGTTGTTTTAATTATGTGGGTGGCATTTATATATAGTTCAAAGATAATACTGAATTAAATTATTATCAACATATTATTATTATTAACATATTTGTGTTTAAATAATTTCTATATTATGTTAGATGAAGTTATTTTGTTAGAAAAATTAAGATGCAGGTTTAACAAAGTTATTTTGTTGTATAATAGATATAAAAATCAATATCCAGGTTAAATAAATTTAAAAAAAAATCCAAAAATTGCGAAACAATGGCACCTGCTTCAAAAAAACATGAAGCAGATTTGAGTTTAGTAGACTTAGTAAAAAATTTCCTAACAACTCATTTTAGATTAACAGGATTTCGACTTCAAAAAAAAGGAAAGGGAAAATTTACATTTAAAGATCGCTAATAATATTTTTCTGTTTTTAATGAGTTTATAAGGAATGTTACTTTTTGGTATGTGGGCCCCATAAAATGTATTTCTTTTTTTCATTTATACGTTAAATTTTTGTGTGTGTTTTTTATGTGTTTATTTTTTGACAGTTGATTTCCACTTTCGACAAAACTTGTTTCGTTTTGAGGTTAGTTTTCTTTGCTGCTGTCTGCTGCTGCTGCTGCCTCTGCTGCTGCCCGAGTTATTGCTGTTTTTGTTTTTAGAGTTTTTTCTTGTTTAGCCACTTTTTACAACAACAACAATAACAACAACAACACGTGGCTGTAAGCAGCTTTTATTTCTATTTCGCATCTCCTTCGCCCGCACACACACGGTATCTATCGCCATCTTCTCACTCGCTTTGTCTATTTTGCAGTAATTTCCAGTTGGCTGAATTCGGTGGGAGGCTGTACGAGAGCAACAGAGAGAGAGAGAGAGAGAGAGAGAGAAAGAGAGGAATGCAGAGAAACAGAGAGAGAGAGGAGAGAGTGGGGTTTTATAACTCCCACCATTTCCATTACCATTTCCATTTCCAAACGCTTTTTTTGTTGCCCACTTTTTGATGGTCCATTCCATTCTACAGCAGCAATGGGATCTGGCCCAAACTGCTCACTTTTTTTGCACTCTCACGCCCACAAAAACGCTACCAACACAAAGCACAAATCACAAAAAAAAATTATAATAAAAAAATCAGAAAACGTAAAAAACACGCAAAATATATAAAGCAAATTCCGCTCTCAAGCACAGTGTTAATGGGTTAAACTGAAGTTTTGCCCATAATAATGAAGAGAAATATAGCATTAAACAGTTGCCACCGTGTCTAGTTTTCCCATTTCCCATTCAGTACACGCTATGTTATAATAATAACATAGTAATAATAAGAATATTTAGATTACAACTTAACATCAAAGGCATGAAAAGTGCCGAAGCCCTCAACTAAATGTAGATTACACAAAAAGACCCCTCAAGGAGGTGAAATAAAAGTAACGAAGGCCACCTGCAAAGTCCAAAAATTTACATTTAGTGACGTCTTATAATCACATTGGCAAAACATTAATTGCAAATATTTTTAGAAGCTGTAACTTAAAAAAAAATATTAATTCCATATAATTTTACTATAGTATCTAGTATTGAAAATAAAAAGTTCTTACAGATGTATAAATATAATATATTACATTTTTTGCAGGGAAATTAGATGACATTAATTAATTAATAAGAGAAGAAATTTGCTAGGCTAAGAAATATTCTACATATCCGTTTGGAATAAGTGCAATAAGTAGAAGTTTCAAGCTTGTCACACTAGGAATAAATAAATAAATAAATATTCGCAATAGAATAACAAAACGAAACGTTGGATTCCTATTCAGATTCCAGATAATCTTAGTTCATTAACAAAATAATACTTTATAAATCCAGTGGGGTTAAATTTTTAATATTTATGATGCAATAATGTTTCTGAAACATTAGAAAATGATATATTAATTTTTTTACAGCTTTATATATATTATTTATATTATATTTATATTTAATATATTTTTTAATAATTCATTTCTGAATTTCAGTATCTGAAACCGTGAGTTTTCGGTTGGAAGTTAATAAAACTGAACAGAAAAATTCATAAGAATGTTTTTAAATCAAAACTTTGCCTAACAAAATTTTCCTTGAAAATTTTTCGGTGGTGAAACCTGCATTTCATCTTATAAATTCTTTAATGTGAGACTATTTACATAAATTAATGAATCAATTTCCCTATTTAATTCAATTTCCCACTTAGTAACAACCTTTTCTTTAAGTGTAATTCACGAGTCATGGCAGTTCAAGCCATTGGGTACACATTTGTGTACCTGTGTGTCTTTGGCAGGTACAAAACACAACACTGTTGATTCACGAACTCTGCCAATAGATAGTTTCTGCAGTTTTCAGAGTAACTTTTTGTTTCCACTCACATTGCCGCTGCGACTGCGCTGTTGCTGCTGCTGCTACTTCTACTTATTTAGCTTCTACTGCTTTTGCTGCTGCTGCTTTTGCTTCTGCTGCACCACAATAAAACAACAATAGATCAAAACCAAATATTTAATACACCGAAAAAAATATAAAACACAGACGAAACGAAAGCGAACACCGAGACGCCAACGCGTGCGCGCACTTTGTAATTAAAATTAATATTGAAATCCGCAGAGTGACAGAGAGAGAGGGCACAAGCTACTGCGAGGGCGAGAGCGAGAGCGAGAGCCACGAGAACGAAAGCCGGAGGTAAAGCGGCGACACTGCAACGTTGACGCTGCGGAAACGTCGATGGTCGCCAAACAACTGTAAGCGGCTTCACTTGCCAAGCGACCGACCGTGCCAGACAAGACGAGGCGGCAATGCGACTAAGCGGCCGAAAGAGACCCCAAAAGAGAGGGAGAGAGCGAGAGAGAGCCCCCCCCCCCCAAGAGAGCGGCCCCAAAAGCTCAGAAAGAGGGAAACAGGGAGAGCGAAGAATTGACCGCAAAGCCGATTGTAAAGAGGCAAAGCCAAGGTTCGGTCTAGAACACCTAATACTCATTATCAGATAAGCAAAGTAGAGATCGGCGGGGAGTTTGAGAATAAACATTTGTATGTACCTACATATGTATGTACATACACACACATTTTATAAAAATAAATGTATTTTAAATTTATTTAATACATATTAAAGAATGGCAGGAATGTGATTCATTAAGTTTTTAAATAAATTAACGAAATAAAATGTGGTATTTAAGGTGAATTGCTAAAGTTTAACTTAATATAAACATTTATTTGAATAATAATCAATAATATTCATACACTCCATATAAAAAATATTTAATTTATTAATAATCTATTAATATCGATTTTGTCCATATAAAATTCCCTAAATGAACCTCGAAACGCATGTACCCTTGCACTCTACGTTTACAGGGTATGCAAATAATGAGCGATGAAAAGTTAGTAGAAGGAGAAAGAGAGAGAGAGAGAGAGAGTTGGGCTTTTGAGAGAGCCCCATAGAAAGATCAGTTCAGTTAGACAGTTATTAAATGAAATGTGAGAGTGGAGCAACGCAATCAGACATGTTGCTCCAACTGGACCATGCCAGTTGCCTTTCAACTGTACAGGTTATCCCATAACAGTGAGTATCAAACTGCAAGAACTTTTGTTAAATTGAAAAGTAAAGAAACTACAGATCATCTTTGTGGCAACTACTAATAGAATTTAACAGTTAAATATTAGAATATTCTTAGAAAATTCAAACTCCTGCTAATATATATTTTTTCGTTAAAAATGTAAAGTTTTTGTGAAACTTTATCTTAAATGATTATTTATATTTTATTTATTTATATATTATTATGTTTCTATCACTTATTATTTAAAGTTTTTTGTATACTGTTATTCTTACTCTCAGAATAAATGTATATGGCCTATAATAACTATATTTGCTAATATCGCCAAATCATATTTCACTATTAAATAACATATTAACTTTAAATTTACAAGGGTAAATATTTAAATATTTCATATAAAAATTTAATTTTCACACTCACCCAGTCGAGAATCATTCTTTTTTCGCACGCGGAGACAAATGGTACAGGATTTAATGCACTAAATGGAAAGATATATAAATTAAACAAAAGGAATTAGTAAATGATTAAAACCAACTGCAAATAGATTAGAGTTAAGGAGTAAAGTTGACTTTGCCGTACGTCGTGTATGTGTCGAATGACCTCCGTGCGGGATATGTTCTCCAGGGTCAGGCCATTGACCTCGAGTATCTCATCGCCCACTTCCAGATTATCGCGATCGGGCGGTGAGCCGTATAGTTTAATTTTACCCTCCACATTCTCGACGAGTATGATGACATAGCCCGATAGTTCGACAACTTGTTGCTGCAAAAAAAAGGAAAATGAGAAAAAGGGATGTGTTAGCATACGATGATAATCAACATTAAATTTACCTAATTAAAAAAATGTGAAAGAAAGTTCTTTCGATGTATCTAAGCTTTTATTTTCACTTACAAACTATTTAAGATAGTTAATAATAATAGTCATGAAAAAAATGCCAGCGAATTAATTTGGAAATTAAATATTTTAATAGTTTGCAGTGGCACATGGTGCGTATACTTAATTCCAAATGATTTCCTTTACTCATGAATTATTTTAAACACCTCATTATATATTTATCTCTTTCTTCTTTTATCTCTTTCTCCATCTCTTTCTCTGTCTTCTTCTCTTTATCGAATTAACTTCTAAATTGGAAATTTTAACATTTTGCAGTAACATACAGGACGTATACTTAATACTAAACGATTTCCTTTCCTCACGAATTTATTTATAACGTCTCTCTATCTATTTATCTATTTCTTCCTTTATCTCTTTCCCAATCTATTCTTTTCTCTCTTTCTATCTTCAGCGAATTAACTTCTAAATTGGAAATTTTAATATTTCGCAGTGGCATACAGAACGTATACTTAATGCTAGGCGATTTTCTTTGTTTAAGAATTTATTTATAATGCCTCTTTATCTATTTATCTGTTTCTTACTTATCTCTTTCTCCATCTATCTTTCTCTCCTTCTCCTTAGCGAATTAACTTGTAAATTTGAAATTTTAACATTTTGCAGCGGCACACGAGGCGTATACTTAATACTAAACGATTTCCTTTCTTTATGAATTTTTTAAAACATCTGTTTATCTATTTATCTTCTTCTCCCTTTATATGTTTCTTCTTTTTTCTCTTTCTGCATCTATCTTTCTCTCTTTTTCTTTCTTAACTTGAAGATTATTTTAAACATTTTTCAGCGGCATATGGAGCGTATACTTAATACTAAACAATTCTCTTTGCTCACGTGTCTTTCTCCCTTTATCTCTTTTTCCATCTCTCTTTCTCAACGGATCTCCCTCTCTTTGTCTCAGTCTCACTCTCTCTCCCTTTCCCTTTCTCTATTCCTCTCCCTCCACCTCTTCCTCTCTCTCTCTCACTCACTTGGTTAATGCCTCGCATAAAGTCATTTTCATAAATGCTTGCCTAAATAGCAACAACAACTTATTTATGCTTCTTATGGGGGTGTACGGGTAAGCGGGGGCTGTGTTATGTTATGGACTAAAAACAAAGAAACACACACACACAGAGTAAAAAAATCAAATTAATTACACAAAAGGATGAAGAACAAAGGCATCAGAAGCAAGTCTCGCTCAACAACAAACAATCCAACTTTAGTTCAAACACGAGTGTGGGTGTGTGAGAGTGTGTGTGCGAATGTGTGTGTGTGTGTGGGAAGTTTTGGCCATTATTGCATGGGCAGGCTCGTTATGTTAATTACAACAAATTATGCTCATGCGGCTCCTCTAGCTCCTAGCTTCGCGCATATACCGAGCATATCCTTGGAAGAACACCCACCAAGCACCGAGGACCGAGGACCAAGGACCGTCGCACACCCACAGTCACAGTTACAGCCACAGGCGTGTAATCGGTGGGCGGCCCTTTGATTGCCCTCCAAAGGTTTGACAGTCACCGGCCCACCAGAACGACAGAGTTAGGGCCATTCAAAAGCCATTAATCCGTAAAGTCAGGCTGCACACACACACACATATAACGAATTTTCCACAAGTAATTCAATTAATAAATCATTACTAGAGTTCACTATAGCTTTCACTTTCTATGTGCAAGGGAATTTAAGTCTTTAACAAGCATTTAATATTGATTTAAGAATATTATAAATAAAACGTTTAAGATAAATAATTTACGTCTAAAGGTAAATTTGCCTATAAAGGTTGTGTATTTACGGAAAATTATGTACCTCCAAATAAATCTCATGAAGTAACTTAATAAATAAGGAGTGAAAAATAAATAATACTAATAAAATTGTAAAGTTTATGCCAACTTGTTCAAACTTCAAAAACTTTAAGAACCTTGAAAGTTTGTATTTTAAATCAATTATATATATTACTCCTTCCAAATAAATTATTATTAAATAAATTATGTTTATATACGATAGATATTTTGTATTTAAAATTAAACATTAAATTAACTTTAGCATCCTTGATTATAAGTAAAATCAAATAAATCTATAAATAAAAGAAACCCCTGTTGTTAATATATAATAAAGTTTTATCTAGTTTTATTTTAAAATAAAATAGATAAAATTCAACCGAAAAAAAAACTAATTTCGGCAAACCAATGTTTATATATCATTGCAGTTGGATTTTATTTATAGGATCGTATCAGAAATAGCTCATAGCTAAGCTCAAAATATTCGCATTCTTCAAATAAATATTTATCAATATTTTTATGATATTTTTTTCATCAAAACAAAACATTAATTTTAATTCGGAAAGCTGTTCTAGGCTAATATTTATTAGATTAATCAATCTGCATTTAGAATATAAAAAAAATGTTTATTAATTTTTTTTCAACATTTTAACGATGTAACCCCTTTAAAAAGTTTGAAAAAATTTACAAATAAAATTGTTTCTTCCTAATATGGCTAGATCGATTCGGCTCTTAATTCTGATCAAAAATATATATGATTTATAGGGTCGGAAATGTTTCCTTCACTGATTAAAATTAAATTTTCCTCTGCAATATTCTTGAAATTCAAATTTTGATTTGATAATTTTTTTAAAATATTTGTTGCGACAATCAAAGTTTAAAAATCGCATAACTTTACCAAAAATGCCTTAATTTCAATTCGGAAAGCGTCCCTGTGTTGGTTGTTTGGAGCTTAAGAAATCTGCATACTACATTTAATTTGTTCCTGTGTTAGTTTTTTGAAGGTTGATCATTTTTATTTGAAAAATTTTTTTAACACGATTTTTTTATATCATATTTTTTGGGACAATCAAAGTTTAAAAATCGCATAACTTTGTCAAAAATGCATTAATTTCAATTCAGAAACCGTTCCTATGTTATTTGTTTTGACGGTTAACAAAGCTGCATACTAATTTTGATATTTAAAAAATTTAAAATTTAAAATTTAAAACTTTGAAAAAAAAAAAATTTTTTTTTAATTCCTCCTGGAGATGGCTAGATCGATTCAGCTGATGATGCTGATCAAGAATTTATATGATTTATAGGGTCGGAAATGACTCCTCACTACGTTTGAAGCTTTTGACTGAAATTATAATACTCTGCAAGGGTGTAAGTATTAAAAGTATTAAAATTAGACCAAAGTCTACGCTACTTTTTGTGACCAAATGGTCCCGATTTTATGACCAAAACCTTATTTCTTTCAATCAGTATAGAAATAAGTTCTGTAATATATTATTTTTTATTTAATTAATCTTCAAAATAAAGTCACAACTTTTGGCAACACAAAGCCACTATTAACAAAAAACCACTTTCATTAATACAAACTTAATAAATTTTAGAAATAATCCCGACAATATATTGTTAGAGTTCCAGCAGACAAACAACAATCAATGATGCATGATGAATGAATGAGAATGACTTGAATTGAGGAATCATGGCTATTTATTTGGCATTAAGTACCGGCACTTTACACTCCTAACCTGATAAATATTTAAAATTGACACAAGAGCAGCGACGAGATGGCGCCTTTCACCTTTTGGCCAAAGTCCCAGTGCCAGTCCCAGTCTCTGTCTCAGCATCCTCAGCATCCTTGGGAATAATTCATGGCCTGAACGAAATGCATCCGCAGCAATTTAAATACGCTTCAAGTTCATTTCACATAGAAAACCAGAAATAAAAGCGACACAAAGAGGCCAACAACAATGGGGAAAAATAAATAGACAACATTGCAGACCACAAAATGCAAACCGAAAATTGGCAAAAAGCACTTGAGAACCATTTAAACCTGGCTGTCTGAATAAAAAAAAAAATACAAAAATAAAATAAAAACGAGAAAAAAACATAAAAATAAATAGAAATAACAAAACAGAAAACCGACTGCGTTGAGATAAATATATGTAAATGTCAGGGATGGTAATATCGAATCGCTATTAATGATTATATTATTTAATATAGTGATATTTTCTTCTTTAAGTTGAAAATTTTTTAAAATTATATTATCGACACATTTATGAAAAAGATACAAAATATTTAAGCTATTAATCAATGTTAAGCGATTGAAAAATGATACATTATGGTCCTTTCCAAAAAGATACCAATATTTTCAGAATAAAAATATTTTGAAAACACTTTAAATATATTTGTATATATATATATATGATTTCTTGTATTAAAAGACGACATAATAATGTAATCATATTATAGATACTTTCGTCAAAGTATAATTTATAAATAAACGATATTTTTAAATTCCCTTCTCGATAACGCACATCTCTATAATATATATGTATTTGTAAATGCAGAATGGAAGTGAACTCGGGGATGTAGAAAAAGTTGCCTAATTACAAAACAAAAGCCATGGAAGAGGTGGAGAAAAAAGTGGGAGGTGGGAAAATAATTCGTCCTTATTGGGTCACAAAAGTGAATAAAACAGGCGTTGGGCGTTGTGGGCGTGGCAATGTGGCAGAACCGGCAATTGTTGCAAGTGCAATGGCAATGGCAATACCAGCAATTGCAATTGCAACAGCAACAGCAACAGCAACACTATTGCGACAGGCAAAACACTCAACTGGAAGTGAACTCGAGCTCTGGCTGGCAAACGGCCAAAAAGGACACACAAAGCAGGAGGCAACAAGGAATGGAATGAAATGGAAGGGAATGGAATGTCCCAGTGTCCTGGGCCAGGTGCTAACAGGGCCAAAAGCAGACCCATACACACACACACACAGAAAATGCGGCGAATAAACAGGAAGACAGCTCTCGGTCGACTCTCGGTTGCAGCTTTGCTGGGGAAATGAACAGAAACTGTGAAAATGGTGAAAATTGGGTGGGAAAAAGCCACCGAAAAACCAACGATTCCCA